TATTGGCGAGCGAGGTTGCTGCCGTGGCGGCCCCGGCGCCCGGCCCCGCGCGGTGCCCGCGCAGCCGCCGCGCTCCGAGAGGTTAATTGGGCTGGGAGACGCGCGCACGGTGCGCTGCATCTTTAAGGGAAATGTTGACTCAAGGAGCCGAGGCTCTAGTGATTTTTATGCTGCTGTAATTATTTTTAAACTTTGTTTTCGGCGTTGTTGATAACAGCTTGGCATTGTGCCTGGTGACCTGATTAAACCTACAAATTGTCAGGCTTGATCTATCGGATGCAGATGAGATTGCTGACTGAGCATCACTTTGGAAATTCTCGATTTGAAACACAAATTAGATTTAAAATGTTGCTCCCAACAACACACTGCAAAAACATTGGCAATTTTTAACACATATTTAGTATCCCAGCGCCGTGATAGCAATTAGGATGCCAACGGGTGCAATAAGGTTTAATTCCCATTGTCTCTATTCAGCTCTGGACAGAGGCTCCGCGGGGAGCAGGGGGCTGTGCTGGGGGGCCGCCCGGGATGCGCTCTCGCCCTTGCCCTTTCCTATGGAACCCTGAGCCAGGGAACCTGCGCGAGGTCGGACACCAGGGCCACGCGTGGAAACGTCTGCCGGGGTCCATGGGATTTGGGAATCTTCTGTCGGGGGGTGGCGGGGGGCAGCTCTCCCCCTGAACGTTTGAAACCAACGCTTAGCTCTGCAGCGGGGTGGAATCCAGTGGGGCGAGTCTCAGTAAGAATAACATATTGCTTGGATCCATTTGGAAGGAAATGAGAAGCAAATCAATTATTTCCAAATAAATAATGCACTTACTGTTACCACATGGTCTTGCATCAAAGTGGTGTAATGTACAGCAATAATGCCAGCCTTGTGTAGATTCAGATGCGTCTTCAAAAGCCATCAGAAGGCACGTGTCTGTGCTCACGTGAGTGCTTTCTTAGTGCTCACAATAAAGGGTTTGCAAATTCTGCAGGGTCCTTTAAAAGTGCTAAAAGATATATTCTTATTCTTTATTAGAATGAACTGGAGTCTGTAGAATTTCTGTAAACCCACGACATTTGTCTGTGGAAGTTCACAGGACTTTTCCACAAGGCCTTTAGGTGCTAGGGAGGACGGAGGTGTGGATGGAGGAAGGCTCTTGTGCAGAGAGGGCTTTGCAGGAAGGGCTGTCACCGACGTGCAGGGAGCGGGCAGCAGCCTGGCACATACAAGAAATACTGACTGTGTTTTCTCTTGTTCTCTCTTTTTTGCCCAAGGTTTGAGCATCCGAGGAGCCCAGGAGGAAGACCCTCCCGATCCCCAGCTAATGAGACTAGACAATATGCTTCTGGCAGAAGGAGTCTCAGGCCCGGAGAAAGGTGGGGGATCGGCGGCAGCAGCTGCAGCC